CAGGAACAGTGCCTTTCAAATTAATAGCTCGACATTTTTTTTGCTTTCCAGGGAGATGGATAACGGACAAAAAGAGGAGCTAATAGTAGTGTCTCAATGGCCTTTGCATGCGGAATATTTCGGATTTTCTGATTTCACAATGGGGCTAAATCAGTTGCACAACGAAGATGAGTCGCTACTTCCCCCAACAGACAGTCGATTTCGACCTGATGTCAGACATCTAGAGAATGGCGATTTGGAAAAAGCAGTTGCTTATAAGCAAGGACTTGAAAAGGTTTGCACTAATTCGTTTAGGCTGATATCACAACAAATCTCATTTTAGGAACAACGAGCAAGAGCAATCAATGAAGCAACACATAAACCATTATGGTTTGAAGAGAAAGAAGATGCGTTCACCAAGAAGAATATTTTTTTTACTAATGGAAAATATTGGGAAGCAAGACAATCTCGATTTGAAAAGCAAAAGAAGGAAAATGCGTTTATACCTATATTTAAAGTAACAATTAACACATAGAGTACATTCATTTAAGTAGGAAGCTTCATTACATTATTTAAGTAAATGAAGATTCTTTATTATAAGTATGTAAAAATGCTGGCTAATTAATGTTAAAAGAAATTTATATAAAAAAGGCTTCGTTTTGGACACTGTCCGAATATAAAAAGGGCAACGTTTATACTAAAAACATGGTATTTAAATTAAGGTTCACCTAAACATTTGCGAATTTGACGAGAAATAGACAGGCACAGTAGAGAACTAACTGAGATTTGACTCTCCAAACTCGTTTACATCAAATTTAGAAAATAAACTTAATTTCCGAAAATAAGACGTTCTAAGTACAAGTAAGAACAGGCTTATTGCATTATCACCATTTTACTACGCACTAGTTCTCAAAATCTTTTTCCAAGAGATGTTTCTCTCTTTCTCTTAAAATTTGAGAAAGAAGCCAGATTTACAGGGCGTATCTAGCTCCCTAAAGAAGAATTTGTTCTAAGAAATCGTATATAGTCAAAAATGGTCAATGACAAAAGATTCTAAAAAACTTTCCGGAAAGACATGATTAATTTTCTTCTGTTCTTATATGAAAAAGAAAAA